TTTATGACAAATTAATATAATTTTAACATTTACAACAAAGTGGCTCATGTTAGAGACTTTTGATCATTTTAGGTAATTGTGTCCCTAAAAGACATCATCACAGTTAATTTAATAAAAGAATAAAATCAGTTTCAAAAGCCAATGCCCCTACTTCTGCGCTCCCTTCATTCTCCCAGTCCTGAGAGATGTTACTTGAATTGAATTCTGTGGGCTGTTTTTGATGTACTCAGCAATAAAATGCACCAGTAAACTCTAAAAGCAGTTGACACTCTGTTGCATTTATGAATTTCTGTCCTGATTTCAGTGCTATGTTTCTAAAGTATTAAGTCAAACAAATTTTATTTTTTCCCAACTCTATTGGGATGCTGCCTGTTTCAGCCAACTGCTCTCTCCATATGCCTCTTGCTGGTATCTGCATCCAAGAAGTCAAGTCTCATGTCACAGTGATTAAAGACAGAATTCAGGTTTCAGGTAAGTATCCATTCCTTAGATAATAGAAATGGTATGTCCAGATAAAGGTTAAATTGACTCCTCAGCCAATGACCAGTTTAGAGAATTGTAGATGTCATATCATAAAAAAGAACCTCAACAAACTAAGCAAGCAAACAATACAAGAAGAAAAACAATCTCTATAGAGCCCCTTTCACTAGTGCAAGGAAGTTCCTAGATCATGACTATATTTATTAATTGCCCAGAATAACCCCAGGAGAAAGGTCATTACTACTTCTAATAACAGACATTAAAGAGTAGATATGCCTGGGTGGTGACATAGTTGTTGACAAAGCTGGGACTTGAAACAAAGTCTGTGTGAAAATCTGGTGTTCTATTAATTACATTCATTCCTGAGAATAAAAAGGAAGAAAAGATTTATTGCTGGACAAAATTTCTGCTTTCAAATGTGATCACAGAGACGGGCCTGGGACTTGTTTTACTTAACGCCATGAAGGAGAGCTAGGACGGTGACAAGGCGATAAAACTTAGGATAAAATAGGAATACCTTTCTAACACTGATCTGTTTGAAAGTAGACAAATGCATGGCCTCCTGAGTTTGAATCCCTGCCACTAAATGTGTCCAGGAAGAAGTTGGAGTGCCAAGGTCTCTTTTGGGCTCTAAAATTATGTAGTTCTAAGATTCTAAGCAAAATATCTATTCTCTAGGAAATCCTTGATATCAAGAAGCCTTCTCTCCCAATCCCTGTGGTTCTATCTGGTCCCATCTGTGTGACCTTAGGAATCCAGCTGGGGTTCCTCAGCTTGCTTATGGCAGGCAAGGTTATTAGAAGGTCAAATATGATAAACTTGAAATGCTTACCCCTTGTAAAGCTCAAATAGTGTTAGTTACCTCTTCTCGCATGTCTATGAGGTCAGGGTCAGGGTCAGAATCAGAGGAGCCATCCTGGGGAGCTTCCTGTCACAGACACTTGAATCGCACCAAAAGCACAGGGAAGGAAGCGTTCCAGGATGCTAGCGAGGGTCCCCCCTGGACCGGTGTCTGGATCAACCATGAGTGTGCATTTGCTACTGACTTGTCCATGTTCCTGCTTGTTCACGCCCAAAGAAAAATAATGCAGTGTTCTTATGCATACTTTCCAGCTTTCTGATGTGCATTCTTAGTAAATTCTACACAAAAGCATCAATTAAATTAGCTCTTTACATGTTGTCCACATCCATTGGAGCATTCAATAAAGTCTAATACTATTCTGTTGTATAATTAATCATGAATATGCTATTTTCTCTCAAAGAGGGTTTGTTGGCCACCAGTCAATGTCTACTGCCCTTATTAAATATAGAAAATGTTTTGACATACATAACAATTAGTGCTGTGAAACCATCAGACTTTCTGCTGCACTCCTACGTTCTAGTACCTAAAAAAGGTAACTGGAAGGCTTTCAAAGGAGCGTGAAATGTATTCAAAATATAACAATTAAGACGCGTGCATGTGATTTTTAAAAACCATCTCTGAAGTTCAAGTAGCTATCGATAAGAAAAGATGCTGTTACAGAAGTATTCAATCACGCATAGAATTTTAAGGAATATATCTGGTGTTTAAGAAAACTTGCATAACCTTCATTTGCGCAGGAAAAGAGTAGGAGGGGAAGATGAAAACTGTAAGTGTAATTCTGTTTGAATAGAAAGAGAATTTATCATTTAAAACTGTATTGTCAGTCTATGGCCAGGGTGGGTCTCAGGTTACTGTGGGGGTTCAAACATGCTCATGGGGTCCTAAAAACAAACTTATTCTGATTCGCTGCCCTGAGGCTTCTAGGGCACACCTGGGCTCCCAACGAGTGAGATGACAGCGACAATTTCATGTCTTTGTCATGCTGAGTGTACTTGTGGAGAAAACTGTTTGTCATGAGCTAAGGAACCTTTCCTCATCACTCCTTCCAGCTCTGGGGTGAAGAACGCATCTTTGGGGGATTCAGTTAAAAATACATGAGGGTTTTCTGTTCTTTTATTTTTACAAACAACAAAACTGAAGTGTGTGTGTGGGGGGGGGGTGTTTATGAAGGTTAACTTAACAAAACATCAAAAAATAAAAATTTAAAAGACATCATAATTTGGACCTTATCTTCTCTAAGCACAAATATTTGACAATAGAAAGTAAGTATCTATGGTTTGTGAGAAAGCAAAATAGTCTTAAAATCATATAGATGAACAAATACATACACAACAACACAATCTATGATATATATGTATATGCATAAATAGGTACACCTATAAATGTTACATAAAATAGGGAAAATTTTAAAACAAACAGAAAATGTTTATTTCTTTAATAGCATTTCCCACACATCTGTATGTTATAAAACAACAATCTGAGAATTCTATTGCTTAAAAATATCTGGACTATAAAAAGGAAGAAAAGTCAGATATAATCAGTGCAAAAGATATTTAAAGCAAAACAAAACAAACAACCAAAAACCTGCTTCATGTCCCTGACCTAATGTTCCTAAGCTCCGTACCTCAGAGACTATCAAGTCAATAGAGAGAAGATGAATTACATCAGAAGTAAAAAACATGAAGCAACAGAAATCAAAGGCTATGGTAAGTCTAATGTGTCTGGTTCATAGGGTGAGAAATCGACAAACTTAGCAAAGCACAAAAGGGAGAAAATAATAACCTAGCCATTTCAAAGTTGATTTTCAAATATTACTTTTTTCTAGAAAATGCAACTCATTGTTGGTTAATTTGTTTTTCTTAGGCACAAACTCAAATGAATAGAAATTTTGGATATTAAATCAAAAGTGGAAATTTGTCTTGATAGCCTCTAAATCTGAAATTATTATATTCCTATTTTCTTCCAAGAGCTGTATTTTAAACTTGCCCTTTCTGTTCCTATCCTCCCCCAAAGGCATTGTATGTGTTTACTAATTTTCATTTTACCCAGAATTTCTGGTGCCCTGATTTCAAAGGCAGTGTCTAAATGTTGTGTAGCATGCTGCTATTAGTAACAGTTATGATAAAATCATAACTGCAGCCTCTGAGTCAGCGAAAGGAGGAATTCAGTGCTCCGCATCTTATCTAGGAAACATGTGGCCTGCTGGTAGTTCTGAGTTAGCTCAGTGTTTGAATCCACTGGCGCTAGGGTCAGATCTGACCACCATGCTAAACTGGAAACAGATTTTCAAGGGTACCAGTGGCATTGAAAGCTAGACTTTTCAGCTGGCCCTTACACACTTCAGATTGAAAATAAATGCAACAAAATGTTTTTGGGAATAACATCTTCAAACTATCACTGTTTTAAAATGTCTTCCCAAATAAAATATAACAAAAACAAAAATAACAGGTGTTTATGAGACAGCCTAAAGGAAGCCAGATAGAAGATCGTGGTTTCATTGGAACTCACGGACACATATTTTTCTGCATAAATATGAATTACTTTAAATTATTTTGTGCTATCTATTAAGTCAAAATGCAAAACTGTACGAATCAGGAAAAATCAGAAAAGGAGACAGCCAGCAGTACAAATTCTAGCATAAGGAACAGCATTTTTACTAAAATAAATTATTGGTTACAAGTGGGTCCTGGGGGGCTGAGTCAGACAGCAAACTTAAGATATTTTCTCTTTCCTGATAGTTATCTCTATATTTCATCAAAAAAAAAAAAAAAAAAAAAA